AAATGAAATAAACAAAAATCATCATTATATCAACAATCAATGAAACTTCTTTGTACGCAATGCCTAAATTCTACTAATTACCCCTTGATGGTACTTCTTGACGTGTGGACCCTCAAATGTTCGGTGATCTATGACAGATATACGCAAAGAACAAACTTAGCGCTCTTTATCGGTTACTGACGCGTGTGTGCCTAAAGCACGGGATTCGAGAAAAAGGACCGGCGTCACGCGCTCGACCGTTACTGCTGGACAAAGACTCGAAACCTTAAGTGATCTGGATCTTTCGTTTGTTGGCATACCTTTATGAGAGTTTATCACGCACATTAATATTAAATCTTATACTGAGCATATACAAGATGTTGTTTAATCATGTCACTATGGGGGAGTTGAATGGAAGTGCCCCAGAACATGATCGCGACTGTTGAATATTCCAAAGAGTTAACAGCAATTTAAGAAAAAACTATATCAATTGGATAAACAAGTTGTAAATCAGCATATGCATGATTAAAGCGCATTTTTGGTAATACCTGTGGTAATACCGATTATTATTATATTAGTGAAGTTTAAAATTATCGATCTCACAAGTAATTTTGGCTGCGTTAAATAATTAATTTTATTTAATTGCAATTGAGGGCACGTCTTTATTTTGTAAAACAAATCACAAAGTAAATAATTAAGTTTTTATACTGGTAGCGCTATCTAACGGTAAAATTATAGCACCTCCGAAAACCATATCGAAATTATTTTTTTCAATTATCGATCTCACAAGTAATCTAACTCAAAATAGACTAGAGCCTGCACATCTACACTACAGCAGAAAGCTTTTAGTGAAAATTTGAAGTCTCTCAGCCGGCCAGCCAGTCATAACAAATATAATAGCGTATTTTTTCAAAAATGCGCTAAAAATAAATAAATTTGTTGAATATTTGTTTGATGTTATCAATTGAAGTTTCTAATGTAATAGCGCGAGTTTTTAAATTAATGAGTGGAAGAATGTTTTCCGTATAGGCAAGGCTGTGTGCAATGGCATGCGGTTACTACCCCACTCACAAAACACCTGTTCAGTTAGCTCAAAACAAATCAAAATTAAAACTTAGAATTTGATCATCTGTCCTCTTACACTTCCGGGATCTACTATAAAGAATTGACTCAATTTGAGGTACTCTGACTTCGATCAACTTCCAAAAACTCCAGCGAATTTATTACACAAATTTTGATCAACACCCGAAAACTCTATCTGGATCGCACCTTGGATTTGAATAAACACACAAGTAATTGATTCAAAATGAGAAAAATTTATTCCGAAACATGAAAGAAACCAACCAACAAAGAAAAGCTTATAAAGCCTGTTTGGAGACATATTACCCCGCACACACGCGGTCCACAATTAAAATAAATCTTAAATTATTCACAGTTTTTTCGTAATAATCCAAATAATCTGGTCGTAAAAGGTTTGCGATATTAAGCGCACTTAACTCACACACATGCTGACTGCTTCTGAACTTCACTTTTATAACACAGTTAGATGACAAACAAAACTGGTTTGTTGAATAAGATGACAAATTTTTACGGACCTGCTTCTGCACAAATTTATTATAAAAATGATGAACTGCGTCTTCTACTAAACAACAAGGGCTGACTGCTCGAAAATTTAGCGTAAAAAATGTATAGGGTGGCCAAATAAGAATGCGAGGTACTGCATCTGGGAACCTGTCCATCGTAGAGGCTTGCGGTAAAACTTTATTACTAAAACGGCCACGAGAAAAACCTGGAAAATATTTTTAAGTTTGTGCAATGGCCGCTAGGGGGCGTAACTGCAATCTGGAATCTAAAAAAAGTGATGTTTCTATGAATTCCGCTATATTAACCTAACAAAAAAATGTCCGGTCTTTGAAGTTGACAATAATCTGAACCTTTTTGATTGAAATTTTTCTTGTATCTCTAAAAATGAAGTGGTGGGGGGTATTCAAAGGTTTCCGTAAAGAACACCCTGTATCTTCGAAACGGCTGAGCCGATTTAAACAAACTCGGGTTAGTTCAAAAGATCTATTCTTCAGCTACAAATATACTATTTGAAGTTTTGTTAGTTTCACATATCACCGCTTGAGGGCTTTTTTCGACATTCCGACAGAAATGGTTAATTTTCTCAAAAAAATTAAATGCATTGGTTTGATTTTTTTTTCATGAAAAGGTAGCTAAATGATGCCTAAACAAGCTCGCGAAAACAGGTGACCCACCACCAGGTTCTTGGGTAAGGCCCTGTGTTGGAGCCGTCCCCTCTTTTGAGGAGCCTGCCCCATTACCGGACCCCTTTTGAGGGCCCGCCTTGTTGGTCCCCTCTGACGAGGAGCCCCGAAAGGTTTTGTTAGAAGATTCCATACAATTCCCACGAGTAGTGCGGAAATGCGGTCTCACCTGGGCAGAGCCGCTTGCCCAGGGCTTGGCTGCCAGCCCCTTCCCAAAGGAAAGGAGCCACCACTCGGAGGTCGCCCGGTATCCGAGGGGCACCGTTATCGACACTGCACCCCAGTGCCACGCAGTCCTCGGCACGGTTGCTAACACCTTGACTTGGGAGGTTGGTCCGCGGCGACGACCTTCGTCGCTACTAGCCTGGGTTTTAGCCCCGATGAGCCACACCGAAGCACGAGTCATGTACGATCATTCAGGTGTCTGTATGGGCTTTCCCCTATCCGCCACCCGGGGACGCGCCCGATGGGTCCCTAACCACACGGGTCAATTACCACTAGCTTTGATAATCACAGCTTGAAAAAAACGTTGACCAGTTGTGTGTTAGTTAAACGATCTGATCCAAATTGAGCAATTTAAAAGCGATAGCATTAAAACGAAAACTACGCAATTACAAACAATTCTAAAAGGAAAAACAAACACTGAAATACAAATTCAAATGAAACGAACCAACTCTGTGCTTATTTTGTAAATTTACTTACTAAATTGAAATACACTCATATACATGATGTCTCAACATTATTTTTGGTGTGTAGGCCGATATAACGTCTAAATGATGTTTACCCAACAATATGTATAATGTAGATACCTATTCAGGCATTGTTACCTATCAGTTGAGAAATTAGAAATTAATGATTGGTCCAATGTAGTGTTTCGGGGCTTTGTGCATGCGGAAAGAAAGCTGTAACTAAAGTTTGGTGCTTATATGGCAAATCAGTTTCAAATGTTTGCATCATCAACATATAATAAATGGAATACACGTGCCAATGCTAAGCATGGATACTGCAGGTGAGAGAGAAGGGAAAACTAAGAGGGCAAACTGTCTCGTACAGTTACGCATCTGATTGGTTCTTTCAACAGAAGCGATCGCATTCGCACTCAAATTATATTGAAAGAACAAATCAGATGCGTAACCGTAAGAGACAGGTTGCCCTTCTAGTTTTCCCTTCTCTCTCACCTGCAGTATCCGCGGTTATCATTGACACACGCAGTCCATTTATTATATGTCCATGGTTTGCATGTCACAATAACACATTAGCTTGTTGAATGTTTGAGACACAGCGTAATTTTAAGTAAATGTCAACAGGTAGTGGGAACAGTCTGTGATGAGAATGGCAAACACGTAAGAAACCTATTTGGTAAATGGTCCGAAGCACTATACTGCGGTGTCGCACCATCAGCGAGATGTATATGGCGTGCGGGCACCCTACCACCAAATCACGATCAGTTTTACGGTTTCACTCGTTTCGCAATCGAGTTAAACGAATTGGAACCGGATTCACATCTACTTCCACCGACCGATACTAGATTGAGGCCCGATCAACGCGCACTCGAACTAGGAAACTTGGCGAAGGCCGAACAGTTAAAATTACAATTAGAAAATGCCCAAAGGGAACGGCGAAAAAAGCGATTGTCTCAAAATGTACAGTACCAGCCTCAGTGGTTCTCGCAAAACGATAATAACGATCACACTAATGACGAATGGTTATATAACGGTAAATATTGGGAAGCACGTAAAAGTGGAACGTTCTCTGAGTTACATTTTGAATCTTTATGGTAACATGTAGATTCATAAAAGTTGACTATGTAGCTAGGTTTTAATTGTGGTTTAAGGTTGTTAATTTCTTGAGGTGCCTAAAAATACTTTTTTTACTAATTTAGCTAAATTGTGACAGTATTGTTTAAAAAAAATGTAAATTGATAGGCTTTTGCAAATCTAGAAAAATTGTTGTATTAATTCAACTAAGTGATACAAGTTATGCTATAATTTAAAGAAATTTTTGGTTTGTCCGTTTGTAATACACGAATTAATATGCTCGAATTTCATTCATTAAAATGAGCTAAAAAAAATGAAAAGTTACAGTTGTATGGTAATTAATATTTATTACTATAGGGAGTGCGTGCAGATCACGTCACCATGTCTTTCTCTTGCTCCCTAGTGTATACATTTTTAATCTCTGCTGAAATTTACAAGTATTAATAGATAAACAACTTTAAAGAAAAATTATGACTGAAAAAAAGTTATAGGGTATAAATGGGGTGCTTGAGTTTGATGTTTGTTGGTGCTACTTCCTTGAAATGGCTTGACACATTTCAAACTCTTGTTCCTGTAAAGCAGAATGCTCATTAGGGAACTGTTGCATGTAGCGTACCAGTGACAATGTCATTAATGTTCAGTCATTGCAAACTGCTGTTGTATCCAGTATGGCCACTGATAAGGATTGTTTGTTGGTTTTTGCTGTGAACACAAAAAGTCGCCTAGTGTTAATTCTGTTATGTGGACATGCTTGCGAACCGAACTGTACAATAAACAACAGCTATGTGGATCTAGAAAAAATAAATAAAACAGGACGCTTGGCTGCCTGTATGGAGGCCACTGTTGACATTTATAAACAAAGAACTTCGGCACCTTGACAAGCACTTACTGCAACAGTTTGATAGTGGGTACGTGGCTCTATAGTCTAATTCGCTATAGACAAATTCTGATGCAAAAATAATGATGAAAACATAATTTAACCACTCTTCCCACGACGTTACTGTTCTCCAACTGTGCAAGGGAATTTTCTAAAAGCCATTTCTAACATGAAGCTGCTGTTGCTGGGATAATCTTCAGAAACTTCAATACACAAGTGCTGAAACAAAACACACATCTCATATTCCAATAGTAAATTCGTTTTTCAATTAAGCAACAGAGAGCCTACATGACTAATCAGTGTTCAGTGGTAATAGGCCTTTCAAATAGGTACCGCTAATTACAAGCGAGCAAACCAATTTTGATCTGACTTTTATATGTGTTTTTTACTCTTTAATTGTATAGTTATGAAATTTTATTTTTTATTTTATTTTAGTTTGTTTTAAGTTTTGTTATTCATGAGATTTTTCCCATTGTGTTACAATTTTAGTATAAATGTTTGATGCTTTACTGTTAATGTTGCAAATTAAAGTTTTGCAGTTTGAAAACGTTAGAAAATGATGTAAAACAACTAATAAAATATTTCTGTAACTACTTGTCTGGTTTTAAAGTTTCGCCCTTTTTCGTAGTTGATAGCTGTAAACTATCTTTACCCAAAATCCTTATGAAACCTTCACTGTCAGGAAAATTTAGTTTCTATGACGGAGGCAGACTTAGACCATATAGTACATGGACTGCTATTAGCCCTATGCTTTCAATACAAAACGAATGGTCACGGATAGAGGGCACCGTAGTCGTGGGTATGTGAATCTCGGGGTAAACTAAAGTCGTGTAAACACCACTAGGATCGCGTAAAGAGTAGCTTTTATAATAACTGCATAGTACGGGAAGCTTTAAATACTCTTGATTATCTTCTATACGTCCACAAATAAGAGTAGGTTTGCTTTTTTGGCATATCTAGGCGATTAATTAATTGACGTTTGTTAATTTATAGGTTGACAAACTCAAATCGTGCCTAAGCGGACAACTTCGGACAGACTCGTTTATCCTGAAACTAAAATACCCAGGCGATGTCCTTGACCATTATTTCAGCAGTCCATGTACTATACGGTCTAAGGAAGCAGACCAGGCTGCTTTTTCTGCCGCTTGTTACTTTACCGGCAGCACCTGTCACATTGGTATTGTCTAAAATTACAAGCCATGCTGAGAAGTTTGGCAATGTTTTCCGAAAGTCAATCGGTGGGGCGATAAAAGTTTTAATGGCGTCTTGTTGCTCTTGAAAAATATGAAATGCTCTGTGTATACAATAATCATGAAGTTTTCGATTTTGCCCATTCTGCGCAGATGCGGTGAACAGGGATTTTACACACCGAAGCTTGACAAAAAAGTTAGCGCGAGTTAACAGTGTTCTAATCCGTAGCCTACTGATAGATCTAGCCGTGACATTGCTTTAGTGACGTCACAACTGGAGATGGGCCACTGCAACGCGATTCTATGTGTTTAAATGCAATTTGATTTGCGCGCGTACTCATTTAATGCCAAAACATTTAGTAATTACTTGTTTTGAGCCGCAGAATTGTTATATGTTTTTTCCTAATTATAGACACGTGTAATTATGCAAAAACTTTTATTAAATACGTACATAAACAACAAATACTCACTGAAAACAAATAAAATTTAAACATTCTATACACACATCTGCCATTTTTTGCCTTACACAACGAAGTTGAGGTAACGCTCATGTGCTCGATTTTCCGTCGTCTGCCTATCTGTCTGTTCCATCGAGATCTCGGCCCCTGGACCACCTAGAAACTACGGGTTTTCGGTAATTTGTAGTTGCTAAGGTCTATATTTTCCCGTTACTCATCATTTACATCCTTTTCATATGTGATGGCTCATTTTCAAAAATGGTGGGATACGCGTCTTCGGCAAGTTTAATCTGGTCTCGTGGAACTGTTAATACTGTACCGTCTTGCCTAGTCATCTTATCTACCCGAATAATGAAAATTTCGGAGAAATGCTTTATACAAACCCTGGAGTAGGTAAATAGTAATTTCGAAATTGTGAATACTAGTGAATCATCTTAACCATTTTTTTATTGTCTTCATTTTTCGGAAAACGAAAAACCGTAACCTTGTCTCTTGAACTATAATTGCTTTTGCAACCAGGGACGCAGCACGTATTTGGCATTTTCTTACTTATTCTGTTCGAATACATTTAATTTAAGTATACAATATTCAAAAATAAGTTAACATAAACCTTACTTGGAATTAATTACATTAAAAGTCGATATGACGGCCGCCGTCAGTTGTGACGTCAACGCAATAGTGGGGATCAGTGTCATGGCTAGTTCTATCGGTAGGCTACGTCTAATCCGAGCCGAGTTGGTGTAATGGCGGGTCTAGCGTTTATTGTGTTGTTTTGTTTGAAAACTGTATTTACAGAAGTAGTAGTTGTTTAATTCTTTCTTATACTAACCATTGAATAATGTCAGCACAATTTGTTATTGTTTACATTATGCGTAAAATACGGTAATAAGTTAGGCAACTACCATACATACCTATTGAATTTAGAAAAGCTGTAGTGTTAAATTAAATTTGCCGCTTTCATTATTTCCCCCACCGATCTTGTACTTGTATGACTATGATGCGCACCATGCGCTCGCTCTCTTCTCGCTGCTGTATGTCAACTCACAATGCACTAATAAAGTACTGCTCTTTTTGTTATTACGCTGCCTTTATT